GTGACTGTGTACTCCACGGTCTTCTCCTCTCAAATGCCCTGGGTCCTGTGAGGACTAGGAAACCAAAAAACAAAAAACAAAAAAAAAAGGCTAGGAATTGCTGGGGGCCGGGGCGGGGGGGGGAGGAAATCAGGCGAGAGCATGAAACTGACCACAAGATGGCCTCGGGACGGAGCAGAGAAGACCTTCTCCCTCACTAGCCTGAGTCACCTGCGCTGGAAGCACAAATCCCTCCTGCAGCCTAGTTTCTGACCATCAGGCCCGCGGGGTCCTTTTGTATTTTCCACCTTGTGGAACTTGCAAACTGATCCCATGATGCTTCCGAATGATGCAGACCCGCCTTCTGTCCTTAATCTTCCATCCTGCAGAACCACCAAGTCCTGGGGTTCTCACAGCCATGTGGGGGGCGGGGGCAGCCCGCTGGACTGGCATTTCTCTTTCTGGAGGACCGCAGCACCTGTGAGGTTTGGGGCCTCCCTCCAATGGGTTGCCAGATGCCGGGATGTGGGTTTGATTTTGCGGTGCCGGCTGCAAAGCACCCAGACCACTGATGCTGTCCGGGTGTCAACAATGCTCAAGACTCTCCGAGAGGCTCAACCCTGCTAAAAGGCATCTGAAGCTCAACAGCAGGCGGAGAGGGAGGACAGACGGGAGGCAGGGAAGGAAAAAGTGAGAGGGAGAAAAAGAGAGCTCGCCTTTTCACTTTATCTTTTTTAAAAGCATCTTTTTTTTTTTTTTTCCCCCAGCCAAGACCCAACAGCAACAGGAACAAACCTGATCCACATGGCAGGATAAAGAGGAACCTGAAACCCTTTGCAAGTGTTCTCTTTCCTGACCAGCTGGGCTTGCCGCACTTTGTGAGATTTGCAAAAAATAGATATATATAATAGATATATATTTCCATAGGAAAACAACCTCGGATGTCTTCCCCTGTATGAATGATGAAAAGTCAAACTGCATGGTCTTAAAAAAAAAAAAAAAAAAAACAAAAAAAAAAGGCTAGGAATTGCTGGGGGCCGGGGTGGGGGGGGAGGAAATCAGGCGAGAGCATGAAACTGACCACAAGATGGCCTCGGGACGGAGCAGAGAAGACCTTCTCCCTCACTAGCCTGAGTCAC